CATGTCCTCCAGCTTCCAGAATTCCCGTTCTGCCATGCCCATTCCAACAAAAGTGACATATTTCTGTCGCATCTGCCTTGTACAAAGCTGGCGAGGAGTTGCTCAACTTGGCAATGTTTGCAAGTTCCAAGGTCAAGCGCAACAAAAATTCTCTATTTATTCGCGCAAAGTGTGCGACATGTCCTGTAGCTTCCAGAATCTCTGCTCTGCAGAGCTTATGACTGATATCCTCATACACCGCTCAATACAAGAACACCTGCATACTACACGGACATACTTGGACTGGAGCAGTCGGGTCACGGTGTTCTTATGTGTTCTTTGTGTCTGTGGATGCTCCTATGGCTTGCCCCATGTGTTCTGTCGTGTCGCCGGCAAACAAGGCTCTGCAGTTGTATCACTCCTTCAGCAACCACAACAGTTTCAGAGCTCAGCTCCATGTCTTTGCATCCTACGCATCGTCTCGTGCGTCTTCACCACGTGACCTGCGGCTACCCACTTGACCAACGCGGGGTCTCCCGCGACACACGCGGAGGCTTCACGACGCGGAGGCTTCTTCCGACGTCTGAAGGCGATTCGCGGTGAAATCATCGGGACCCAGGTCTGATGTGGTGTTCAAAAGGTCTTTCTGCTGCGAAGATGGTTTGTTTCCTAGATGTTTGCCAAAACAAACCACCCAACTCTGCCACCCCAACCACCCCAACCGAGGTCGTCTCCCTGCCTGAAGCCCCCAAGTTCAAAGCCATCCTTCATCTGCAGCACCTCCTCACTGGCGCCACTGGCACCAGTGGTGGCTGCGCGACTGGCGGCCGCCCAATGCTTGCTCGCCAAGGAGATCTGGTGTGACAAGCGCTCGAAGCCTTGGGAAGACGCCAGCTGCGCCAGTTTGGCCGGCTGCGGATCCGCTGGAAGCCGGGGAACAGAAAGTCTAGAAACATCGAAGCCGGAGCAAAAAGATGGCGTTTCACCCAGTTCTTCCGGGACATGCATGCACCCAAAACCTCGAACCCGCAGCTTCACTGCGGAAGGCCTGGCGTTTCACGCCTGGCGTTTCACGCCCCGCAGCCAGGACGCTGGACGCATTGGTGAAGTCGCGGATCTCAAAGATCTGCCGCCGGAACCCGGTCGTTCAGGGTCGAACAGGTGACCGGTTGGAGCGATGAACATGGAAGGTCGGTTTTTCACTCTGTCAATAAGTCCCAAATGTTGAGAGAAAACACCAAAATCAAGTCGATTGCCGAGCAAATGGGAGTGTAAACATAGGAGATCCATCATGATACATCCCACAGAACAGAAGGGATGAAAAACGGGGCTCACTGGCCTCCTCTTCCTCCTCTTGGCCACTTCGTACTGGGGCATCCACCGGAACGCGATCTGCATCCTGACTTACAAGCGGCGATGGGCGCACATCGACAGCCGGAGACTGATGGATACCCGAGAGCCGAGCTGAGCCTATCACGCTCATTCGAGCGTCTGAGCCGGCGACCCGTCCGTGAACCCCCATCCAAAAGAATAGCTGCTAAGTGCTTGATTAATTCATGTAGACTCTTGATGTCATTTGGATTGAAGCGCTTTTTTCATATGGAGAGGTTCATTCTGGTTTATTAATCAAGAGTCCACATTTCGTACTTTTTTGGAAAGAGCAGCATGGAATGGCATGGCGCCAAGACAACCTGACCCTGCCATGACTCTGACGTGAAACCCGCCTCGACCGTCCGACCACTGTCGAGGCCCTGCACCTGCCGCGCCAGAGGCGTGCGATCCAAGTCATCCTCCGCGCTAAGGCCGCCTGTGGGCGGCACCGACACCATGGCGTCTGCCGGAGGCCACCGGGTGGAGGTGTGCCTTTGAAATGCAAAACAACTGTATATGTGTTGTGTTGTTTATATAAAATAAACTATTTTAGGATTTGTTGGATTCCCACTTCCCTGTGCTTTCCTGCCGTTCTGTGGAGCATTTGGCCACCAGATTGTTAACTAGTGCTTTCCAATCCAATATCACCGTCAGCATGGCTCCTCGTTCGCTCAGTGTGGTTGCACCAGCCAGGCGAAAGAAGCGGAGCCAAGCTACCGTTGCATCCTGAATTGGGAAGTGG